CACCCCGCAATTGCGGATAAGAGTGACGGGGCGGGCGCGGGCGACGCGGGCGTCGAGCCGTGGCCCTCACCTTGTCGATGGCGCCCTCCTCCTCCTCCTCCTCCTCCTCCTCCTGCTCCTCCTCTTCCTCCTCTTCCTCGTCCGCGTCCTCGTCCTCATCGTCGTCGTCGTCGTCGTCGTCGTTGTCCGCCTCCTCCGTTCTTGGCTTGTTCAGTGAACGCAGTTTGGGTCGCGGGTGGGTCGCGGGCTCTCCACCTCCATCTGGAAGGAATTCAAAAACAGCTCGTCGCAGTCGCCGAAAGTGTTGATTTGTACACTGAACGCGGTTTGGGTCGCAGGTTCTCCACTAGGAGCGAATGCGTAAGAAGCCCGCCGCAGGCGCCGAAAAATTTTGGGTGGGTCGCGTGGTGGGTGGCGGGTGGGTCGCGGGTGGGTCGCGGGTGGGTCGCGGTGGGTCGCGGGTGGGTCGCGGGTGGGTCGCCGGTGGGTCGCCGGGGGGGTTTCGGGTTGGGTCGCGGGCGGGTCGCGGGGGGGTCGTCGCGGGTGGGTCGCGGGTGGTTCGCGGGGTGGGTCGCGGGTTGGTCGCGGGGTGGGTCGCGGGTGGGTCGCGGGTGGGTCGCGGGGTGGGTCGCGGGTGGGTCGCGGGGTGGGTCGCGGGTGGGTCGTGGGGCGGGTCGCGGGTGGGACGACGACAACAACAAACAGCAAACAACAAACAACAAACGCGGATTCACAAATGTGAAGCGCAGTTAGTCTCTCTGCACCCTCCCTCCGCACTTGCTTGCATCCGTCTCACTTCCCCCTCTGCTCCCCTTGTCTTCTCCGCAGCCTCTGCCTGGTTTTTCATTAATGCTGATGATTATTTTGATGATTTCTGGACGTGGGAACCACCGTGGTCCGCCTCGTCGGCTCGTTTCGTCCTCCGCGAGGTATTGAAAGTTTTAGAATACGACGCTAATGATACGAAGAGCGCGCACGGCTTACAGCTGCCCCTCTTGGGGCTTGTATTCACCTCCCGCCAGGAGGGCCCCGAAGTCGGCAACCGCAGTTGCCGGCGCGAGCCGCTTGTTCTAGAATGCGAGGAACTCGCTGGGTCCCGCCCGCAGGCAGGGCCGGCGTCCACCTGCATCGGCAGGCTCGTGTTCGCCTCCCGGGGGCTGCAGGGGAAAGCCGGGGCGCACGCCCAGCGTCCGCTGTACGACGCCCCCGGGCACCTTGAGGCTGCCCAGCGCGCTGGCGAATGGCCTCCGCAGGCACAGGTGGCCCTCCGCTTGTGGGCGCACCTGCTGCGACGCGCGCGCCCGCGCACGCAGCCGCTCGCTTCGCCGGCCACTCCCGTGGCTATTTTGTATGGTGATGCAGCATTGTCGACCAGGCGCGCCGCAGCCATGCTCGTCATCCCCGGTGCAGCGCGGGAGCTCCGCGAGGGCTTCTCGGTCGTGCTGCCGAGCGCGGTGCTTGAACAGCTGGGGCCGTCCCATCAGCACGCCATCAACGGGGCCGAAGCGTGGTGGATCGCCAAAGCACTGGAGGTGTGGGGCGAGACAATCCGCTCGCATTGTCTTTTCTGCTTCGGTGACAACACCGCTGCGCTCGCCGGCTGCGTCCAGGGATACAGCGGGTCCCCCTACGTTGCATGCGTTGTCGGTGCCGTGCACGAGCTTCTCTGCCAGCATGACATCCGGTGCTGGTTCGAGTATGTTCACACTAAGTCGAACCCGCTCGACGCGGCGTCGCGGGAGGACGGTGAAAGTGCTCTCACTGGGCTCGGGGCCTCTGTCCTGCAGGTCGCGCCAACCTTGGGCGTCGATCTGTCCCGCTACCACACGAGGGCTGTTTCGCGTGGCTAAACAACGAGGGGCCGCTGCTGCTGCCGCCGCCGCTGGTTGCTGCTGCTGTTGCCTCTTGGCTCCTGCTGCTGCCCCTTCTTCCTCCTCCTCCCCCTCCTCCTCCTCCTCCTCCTCCTCCTCCTCCTCCTCCTCCTCCTCCTCCTCCTCCTCCTCCTCCCCCTCCGCCTCCTCTCACTCCAAGGGCCTGCGGGGCAGTCGTCGCCGCGGCGGCGTGGCGAAGTCTGAGGGCACGATGCTCTGGCAACCCCTCCCCGCCCCTTCCCCCTCCCTTCCTTCCCTCGTCCCCTTCTGGCCCAGGGGAGAGGGGCGACCGGGCGGGCGACGACGCCCAGCGCTACCAGGCTCAAGCTCGACGTGCCCATATTCGTTCGGCTCCTGGCCCGCGCGCCCCGCCGGGCGCATGGCCCCGCGCCTGCATAGGTGCGCGCCGGTGCGCTCCCCGCCGCGGGTCCTTCACGGCAGGCTCAAGACCCAGGGCCGCTGGGAGCAGGCCCGTCAAGCGCCCGCGCCCCGAGCCGCCGCCGCTGCGGCAGCGCTCCAGGCCCCGTCGGGCCTTGCTCTGGCAACCGCGCGGGTTGTGTTGCCGGTCGCCCAGGGGCCTTCCGAGGCCCCAGGCTGCGCCGGGGGGGGTCGCGCTGGGCAGTCTTGCGCCGCTGTGCCCGGGGGCAGCGGCAGCGCGCTCGGCTGCCCGCGTGCTGCTGCAACTCCCCGCGGGGTCCAGGCCACTGCTTGTGGTGCTCCGCGTGTGCTTTGCCCCGCTGAGGCCTGGTCGTCGTATTGGGGCGTGGTGGACAGCTTGCGCGGTGCTGCCACCAGACAGAACGTCGACATGATGACGGCGCTGAGCCGGGACAGGCGGTGCTCTTTCAGGCGCCCAGATGGCGCCCCGCCCCGCGTGGTGCTGCAGGCCATGAGCGAAGCTCGTGCTCAAGGTGCGGACCTGCTCCGGCTGGCCGACACAGTTGCTGAGAGCCGGTTTCTGTGCAAAACGGTACCGTTTACACTAGTTACATACGCGTCGCATCTGCGTATGGTTGCATGGGCGTCCGAGCTCTTGGGTGAGCCCCCGCTGGTTTGCAGTGTGCAGCACATTCGCCGCGTCGCGGCGGTGTGTGCGTGCGCGTCAACGCAGCGTGGTTGGTTGAGCGCGTGGGCCCTGGCGCACCAGGTGGCCGGCGTGCCGTGGCAGGGTGACCAAAATGTCATTTTGAAAGGCATCAGGCTCGGCACCGCGAAGTGCCGGACGCCCAGACTGCCGAGGCAGAAGGTTGATCGCCGGCTCTTGCGGCGTTTGCTCCGCCATGCGTTGGCGCACCAGCGACACTGGTGGTGCATCATCGCCGTCTTGGCATGCAACTTTCTGTTGCGGATGCCCTCTGAGTTGTTCGCGCAGTGCAAGCGTGATCTTGTACAGGTCGCTGGGGGGCGTTTTATCTATGGCCCCGTCCGGCGAAAGCAGCGGGTGGATCTGTGCACCCTTCATGCTTTTTGCTTGTGCGGCACGGACGAGGGCATTTGTTTGCACACTTGGCTTCCTGTGTGGGACCATGCGATCGCAGCTGGGGGCCCCCCGTTTGGCGGGTATACGCCTGCGACGTGGACGGCCCAATTCCGGCGCCACTTGGAAGCCGTCGGGGTCGCCAACCCCGAGGTGTGGTTTGAGCACGATGTCCGGCGCGGAGCTGCGAGCGACGTCTTTGCGGCCTCTGGAGTCGAAGCCATGCTTTCCCGTGGTGGCTGTCGCTCTGTCACGTCCGCGCGACCGTACGTGTCGGGCGACGAAGTTGCAGCTGGCCTGCTCGCGCAAGGGGTCATCGATGATTCGGGCCCCGAGAATTGAGCGCGGCCACGTGGGCGCGCTTGCCCGCTGCACCGTGGCCACCCCCCCTTTTCCGTTCCATTGGCATTGGGGCCGGGGTGTGACCTCGTGTGCGCGACTGGGCCAATGAAGAGAAGAACGCGTAGGAGGAGGAATAGGAGCAGAAGCTAACGCGGATTCACAAATGTGAAGCGTAGTTAGTCTCTCTGCACCCTCCCTCCGCACTTGCTTGCATCCGTCTCACTTCCCCCTCTGCTCCCCTTGTCTTCTCCGCAGCCTTTTGGGTCACAGGGGGGGCCGCTTGTCCCGCCCTCCCGCCCTCTTTTTCCCTCTGGCGCCGCTGCGCCTGGGGGCCGGGGTGTGACCTCGTGTGCGCGACTTGGCCAATGAAGAAAAAAACGCGTAGGAGGAGGGATAGGAGCAGAAGCTAACAGCAAACAGCAAACAGCAAATAAACAAACAAACAAGCAACCAAACAAACAAACAAACAAACAACAACCACAACAGCAACAGGAGCAACAACAACGAGGATCCGCCTCGCAGAATTCCACTTCAGCCACGCACCCAGGGACATTGAACGACCGTTCGGTTCAGCCCCCTCACTCTGATATATATATATATATATATATACATATATTTAACTATGTATATAGTTATACATATATATATAGAGAGAGAGAGAGAGAGAGAGAGAGAGAGAGAGAGAGAAAGAGAGAGAGAGAGAGAGAGAGAGAGAAAAAAAAACGAGAGAGAGAGAGAGAGAGAGAGAGAGAGAGAGAGAGAGAGAGAAGAGAGAGAGAGAGAGAAAGAAAGAGAGGGAGAGAGAGAGAGAGAGAGAGAGAGAGGGAGAAAAAAAAAGACGAGAGAGAGAGAGAGAGAGATGGGGGACTGGGGGACTGGAAGAGGGAGAGGCGGAGGGATCGGGATAGAATATGGGGGAAGGAGGGCACAGATGATGAAGGGGAGTGCGAGGAGGAGGAGAATGAGGAGGCGGAGGAGGAGGAGAAGGAGGAGAAGGAGGAGGAGGAGGAGGAGGATTTGGAGGATGAAGAGGACGATGACGACGAGGACGAGGACGAGGACGAGGACCCAGGACGAGGAGGAGGAGGAGGAGGAGGAGGAGGGCGAGGAGGAGGACGAGGAGGAGGAGGAGGAGGAGGAGGAGTAGGAGGAGGAAGAGGACGACGACGACGACGAGGACGAGGACGAGGAGGAGGAGGAGAAGGAGGAGTGGGAGGAGGAGGGGGGAGAGGAGGATGATGAGAAGGGGCGGTGGCTGCGTGGCAGCCGCGGTGGCAGAAGCAGCGCTGGATCCCGATGGTTGTCCGCAGGCAGGCGGGGCCGCCTATGCTGCGCCAGGGACTGGCATCGTTTCCGGGCAGCCGGCGTCGTGGCTGGAGGAGCGCCGCCTTTGCTGCCGCCGCCGCCGCTGGTGCTCGGCTTTGTCGTCGTCGTCGTTGTCGTCATCGTCGTCGTCGTCCTCGTCCTCGTCCTCGTCCTTGTCGTCGTCCTTGTTCTCGTCCTCGTCCTCGTCCTCATCCTCGTCCTCGTCCTCGTCCTCGTCATCGTCCTCGTCCTCGTCCTCTTCCCTCCTCCTCCTCCGTCCGTGTTGGGCTTTCGTATTCATGGAAGGCGGCACTCCCACGACTGACTGCTCGCTTGCCGTGCACTTCCGAGCGAGGCCGAGCCAAGCCTCCGTCCACCGCCAGCTTGGCTCAAGTGCCCTGATTAGAGCCGGAGCGGATCCATTCCACGCCACGGCTGCAACTGGGCCAACAGGAGGACATGTAATGCCTTCCGATGCCCAGCGGCCCTCAGAGCGCCTCCTTGAGACTCAGCCTGACATGGGAGATATCGCGTCTCTGCTCGTTCGCTAGGAGGAAAACTGAGGGGACGAAAAAGTCAGTGGCCCTGGGCACGGGCAGAGGAGTGAAGGCAACACGGACGCAAAACAAAAAGAAGCGTTTCTGTTCATTCGCTAGGTGTTTTCGTGGTGCTGCTTGGACACTCACCTAGGGTGCGTGCGTCTACCTGTAGTGTTTCGCAGCTTCCTCCCTTCTCTTCCTTCGCCATCTCCCAAGACACTGTGCTGATAAAGAATTGACGCCAGCGTGGGCCCCAAGCATCGGTTTCGTGCAATCTAAGACGTGCGAGCCTCTAGGTGTGACCCATGAGACCCCGCCGCGCGGAACCCTATCGTGCGGCACCCCACCGTGGGGGTTCCTTTCGTCTCTCGTGTGGGACCCTTTCGTGTAGGATGCTGCCGCGTGGTCCCTGTCGTGTGGGACCGTGCTGTGCTTCACCCTGCTGTGTGGGACACTACCGTGGTGGATTCTGTCGTCTATCGCGCGGGACCCTCTCGCATGGGATGCTACCGCGTGGGGCCGTATCGTGTGGAGCCCTGCTGTGTGGGACTCTGCCGTGTGGCACCCGATCGTGCGGGGCCCTCGCGCGGGACCTTACCGTCTCGTCACGGCAGCGGGGAATCCTTCGGGGGCCTTGCTGGGCGACGCCGAGCACGGTGCCCCGCGATCAGGTCCAACGCATCTGCTGATAGCACATAGGGGGACCCTTAGGCACCGCAGCGCCGAGCAGTGGGCGCTGCTGAAGTCCCCTCCCCCCTGTCAGGGCTGAGTCGGTGCAGTTCGCGCAGGAGCCCCAAGCAGTGCAAGCGCTGCTTTAGGGAATCCTCTTACTGCTTCTCCTCCTCCTCCTGCCCTCCTGGCCCCTGCGGCTTGTCTTCCTCATCATCTACGTGCGCCAGCTCGTGCACCATCTCACCTGCGTTTTCCAGTCGTACCAGTTCGTTCACTACTTCACCTACTGTTTCGACCTGCGCCGGCTATTCCGCCCACACCTTCTGCGCCCGCGCGTTCTGAGGCTACGGCTTCCTGCGCCTTGCCCAAAAAAGAGCCTGGAGCGGAGCGGCGCCCGTGCGAAGCGCCGCTCCGCTCCGTTCCGCTCCGCTCCTGGCCCCCGTGCCCTTCCAGCCCCCCCCCTTGTCGCGCCGAGGCCCAGCGCGTCCAGGTTCCGCAGCCCCCCGCGTGGGCCCGGCGCGTGCTGCCCGGCACAGCCGGCGTCTGGACCGTGCGAGGCCCCGCCGGGCGCGAGGCCTGCGCTTTGCCCAGGGGGCACGGAGCGGAGCGGCGCCAGTGCCCAGCGCCGATCCGCTCCGCTCCCCTGGCCCGCGTGCCCCCCCAGGCTGCCCTCCTGGCCCGCGTGCCCCCCCCCCCCGGGCTGCCCTCCCTCAGAGCGGCCCTCTCTCCCCGTCGCGCCGCGGCCCAGCGCGTCCAGGTTCCGCCGCTCCCCGCGCGAGCCCGGCGCGTGCTGTCTGCCCTCCTGGCCCGCGTGCCACTCCGGGGGCCCTCCTGCCCCGCCCCTCGCGCGCAGGAGCGCGTGACGTCGCTCGAGCGGCGCGTGGGGCGGCCGCTCGAGAGCCTGCCGGTGGAGGCCAGCCAGGGGGGCCAGCGGTGCGCGTCCCTGCGGCTGGCGGGGGGGAAGCCTTGCTTCGGGAGGAGGCGGGGCGGGGGGGGGAGGAGGAAGGGGAAGAAGGTGTGTGAGGGAAACGAAGGAGGAGGAGGAGGAGGCAGGGGAGGAGGAGGAGGAGGAGGAGGAGGAGGAGGTGGAAGTTGAGGAGGTAGGAGGAGGAGGGGGAGGAGGGGGAGGAGGAGGAGGAGGAGGAGGAGGGAGGAGGAGGAGGAGGAGGAGGAGGAGGAGGATGAGGAGGTGGAGGAGGAGGGAGGTGGAGGGGTGGAGGAGGTGGAGGAGGAGGAGGGAGGAGGAGGAGGAGGGGGAGGAGGAGGAGAGGGGGTGTGGATGTGGATGAGGACT